AAGACAACACAAGCATAGTTAGAATTTTATTAATCTTTTCTTTGTAATGTAATCTTTCTTTACAAAACATTGCAAAATATGAAATTCCACATAGAAATAAGAAACCCCTTCAGAGGATAAGCTTCATACAATATGCACAGTTTGGAACTATTGAAGTGTAGTTTCATTGTAAAAGAGTGCTACGATGACAAACCACATTTTAAAAAAAGAGTTCTTAGTAGAGAAACAGACAAACATACCAGACATAGTACACAACAAAACTGATGCCTCCCTCAGCTGTACCCCTAGAAGTTATAGGTACCAAGAGCCCCATCTTGAACTTGGAAGGCATAGCTTTCAGAACTAGTTTCTGGCACAACATTTTGATCTTGTTCTTTCTCTACTGAGAACTACACCTCATACAAGTTTACTGAGGCCTTGTACACAGACTCATTTTCATAGTTCTGCAGAGCTTCAATCTTGACCTAGCCTCCACATTCTTTGATCATTTTATTAAGCTTCTCAGTTTCACCTACTTTCTCAGCAGCCTGAAAGATATTAGAAATGACATCCAGAGTAACAAGAATACTTTTTGTATCTTTCACAGTTAAGAGGTTCATCACTGGTTCTATTATACCACAATGGACAAGGCATACAATCTGTTCAACTGTCCCACTGCTTATATAGTTGGTCATGGCACAAACAGCTTCCTTTTGTGTCTTAAAGTCTGCTTTAGAGAGAACACTGATGAGGAATGGGACTAATCCATGGTTTAGAACTTGCTGTATCTGCTCCTGCTGGCCAGCTGTGATGTCTGATGTTGTCCATGTGGCTTCTTTTTGAATATTAGTTTTGGGGTGAGTGAGCAGGCTGGGAAGGACAGGAAGTGCTCCTGAATCTATCACAATCAGAGTCTGTTCCTCCATTCCAGTGACAATATTCCCTATGGCTCTTGGCATAGGAGTCATAGTAGGAAATTCTTTTGAACCTGGAAGCTTCACCAGATGGGGCATAACTTCCGTTTTTACAACCATTTCAATGCATTCATTTGGACCATCAATAACGTAAGAAATAGCCCAACAGGTATCTGCTAATACTTCTAGATCATTGTGATACAGGAGATGAACCAAAGTAGGAAGAATCTGCTCAACAGCATCTAACAGGGGTACAGGATAGTTGCTGCAGCACAGGTTTGAAAGTGTCCAGGTAAGATTATGTAAATAATCTCCTGCTAAAGATGATATATCAGGAACTGCCAGAAAATCCAAGAGTGGGTCAGTTACATTATTTTGACAACCAAGGCTCAGAAAACTGAATCATCATCTGCAATGTTTCCTACAGCCCAGACAGCTTGTCACTGATGTAAGCATGGGGAGACGCCAAGGGAGAAATAAGTGCTGGGGTAACACCTCTGTCCACCACAGCCTTGGTCTGTTCTGCTGACCCGGAAGCAATGTTAGTGAGTGCTCAAGCACACACAAACTGAATGGGACTACAGTCAGCTGTACTCATGAAGGAAACAAAGTTTGGAATCAAACCAGCCCAGACTATGTGGTCCGTGAGGGGCTATCTTTCCTGAGAAAGCAGTTTCCTAGCAGCTTGAGTAGCTTGCAGCTGGCTTTCCAGATTATTGCTGTTTATGTATGCTTTTGACAATGTCATCAACAATCCAATTCACAGTGCCTTGGTTATCACTGTTTTCCTGGAGTGGTGCAGTAGCATCATCAGGAAATGAGCTTCCATTTCTCCTTCTTAGCTTTCCTCAGCTCCACGTTAATTTCTATTCATCCTTGTCTTGTTTCTGTACTGTCTTTTCCCTTGTTCTTGAACCTGTTCATCTGGGCAGCTGGTGAATTAGCATTCTCACTGGTGGACATGGTAATGAGACAAAGACAGAAAGTGGTTGTGGACTGGGTGCTCTCTAAAAGTGTGCCCATTTTATTAACCTTACATATGTAATTACAATTGTATCACCCCTTTGTGTATTCTTTCACTTGTCAGAGAATTCCATCAGCAAAAGTTCATTTTTATGTTAAGAGAAATATAAATTCCTTTATAAACCATCCATTGACCATCTAGGACTAGTTGAATTCTTTAATACAGAATAGATGCTTAAGTATTTGGAAATAATCAGTGTGTGTCTTAGTTGAATATTGAGTACTCTCAACGAAACATACATTCTTTCTCTTTACAAACTCTAATGATAAGCATATTTCTTCATACACTGAATGAAACTCTTTGGGGATATTAAGATCTATAGATACTGCTCTTAATAACTATTCAGAGATGGGTTATAATGAAACATGCACAATGATTTCTTCACCATTTTAAGAACAATATAAAAATTTTAGGAGACAAAAGAAGGTTAATTCTTGGTTGTTTTTTTTGTTTTTTTTTGTTTTTTGTCTTTTTTTGTTGATTCCAGGAATCAAACTCATGACCTCAGGCTTGCCAGGCAAGCGCTTATGCCATTGAGCTATATCCCCATCCCAAAAAGCTTAATTCTAATTGGAGGAGAAAAGAACACTCAGCGGATGTTTACAGCTGCACAGCCCATAATAACTAAACCTCGAAAGAGTCATATAGGCCTGAGACAGATAAGTGGGTAAAGAAAATGCAGTATATGTATGCAAGGGAGTACTACTCAACTGTTTAAAAAAAAAGTAAATTGAATCATTTATAGGAAATTGCAAAAACCTGCAGACCACAATGCTATGTGAAATAAATCAGACAGAAGGCTAAAAGTCACATTTTTATATTATATGAGAAACCCAAAATATAAATAATATAGATTGTAAAAAAAAATAGATGATAGGAAACAGAGAGGTCAACTTTGTAGAGCTTGGAAGGGGACACTGGGGTGGGGGAGACAGAATGATGGAAAGAGAAAAGAGAAGTGAAAATGACGAAGGTGTGATATGTATATGTACCCATTCTCTAAGATGAGTGTTATTATTATGTATCACAAACATACACTGAAAAAAAGAGAAACTAAAAGTGACAGCTGGGTGTGGTGGCACATGCCTATAATCCCAGCATTCAGGAGGCTGAGGAAGGAGGATCATTGTGAGACTGAGGCTAGCTTGGGCTACAAAGTGAGCTCAAGGCCAACCCCACCTGTATAGGGAGACCTTGTTTCAAAAAGACAATCAATCAATCAATCAATTAATAAATAAATAAAAGTGAGAGAGGCTTCTTGTTGGAAGATAAGGCTTTGAAGAGAGAGGAGGCTGGGTACTCCACGATGGAAGAAACAGGTAGGGAGCCAGATGAACTTGGACAGAGGTGAGTGTAAGTTTGACCAGAGGAAAGCAAATGTAAAATCACCAATGAAAATACTGGTGACAGAATAAAGGACATTAAAGATCTCACACAAGAATTATTTTCTAAAATAAAACCAACTAAGCCAATGAAGAAATAAAATATTTATAAATATGGTCAT